AAAAATTATTCAACTATAAAGTTAAAAATAATACCACTTATCCATTCAAAGCATTAACCGCTTTTTCGAGAAATTTAGAGTGCAATGAGCAAAACACAACTATAGTATTTCTTTTGGGACATATAACAATTAGTTTCCAATGTTCACTACATAAGCATTCAAAATAATTAATATGTATAAATTTTATTTATAAATGAAAACACAAATTAATATATACTTACTTGCAGTAAAACGGAGCCAAATAACAATCTTTGATGTTCTCGACAAAAATTCTTTGACAGAAGTCCTACAAAGTGTGAAGAATTGGTCAGGATCATAACTTAATTTAATATCCAACAGTGTGTCTGGAAGAGTGTCAACGATCATTCTTAGTCTCTCAATATCATCTATTCTTGACAGTGTAGGTTCAATACTGCCCTGGTTGGCAGAAAAACTTTCTTTCGCGCTTGTACCACCCGTAACTTTTTGAACTTCACTGTCTTGAATTTTCAACTGATTTAAACTTGTATAGCTTAATACACCCATCTAATTCAATTTCTGCATCATAAAAATAACATAAGTAAAATCCAAAATTAAAATACGCAAACAATAATAACAACAACATACATCTTATACCTCAAGCACATCACACATACACTTTTGGGACACCTTAACCTCAGTCACCCTCTCTAGCTTTTCCTGCTGCTTTTGAAGACTCTCCCGCACCGTCTGCAATAACCTCTCCCTCTCCTCCTCCAACTTCCTATCCTGCTCCTCCCTCCACCTCTTCTTCTCCTCGTCAAACTTCTTCCTCTCCCCCTCTAACTTCCTATCTTGCTCCTCCCTCCACCTCATCCTCTCCTCCTCAAACTTCTTCCTATCCTCCTTCGACTTCCTATCCTGCTTCTTCATTTCCTTCTCCACCTCAATAGTAACAATCTCTCTAATCTCTCTCTTATAGGTTTTCCCACTAGATGATTTAGGCGATCCAAAAAAACTTGAAGCCAAAACCTCTTCCAACACCATGAACACGCCCAGAATGATCCTTGGTTCCAATCGATTCTACCAAGATGTCATGACGATCTTGTGAAGTGAAGAGATCGGATTCGGTTTCTTCAACCAGCTCATCCTACAACACATATAAAATTTCATCTTTAACAAATAGATTTTACTAAATAAATATTATTAAAAAAATTATTTACTTACAATCCTTTGAGCAACATCTGATGTGAAATCATCGTCTTTTCTTTGATGTGCCTTCTTCCATTTCTTGTGGTGTGATAGTAGAGATGGAGTGCGGTCAAGACTTATAGAACCTCCCAGCTCTTTCTCCCTTTATTTTATTTTTTCTTCGATCATCGTCTTTTCAAATTTACGATATCCTCCACGAGACAATCTATGTGGATGGATATTTCTAACTTGATTTTCCTTTCCCTTTTGGCTATTTGCCAAGAACTCAGAAGTGATGCGAGACTCTACAAATTTCTCCCAAACATCTTGATCAATATATGAATACACATCATATGGAGGATTTTCTTTATCTTCTTCATGTTTAATATAATCACGAGTGAGTTGTGTCTTAAAGCCCCTCCAACGCTCACCATAATATGTAATCATCTTATTTTTCACATTATCATTATTTGGACAAACAATAAAACACATCGTATGTTTACACAATAGAGATGTTATTAGTAACAATGAATGCATCTTATATTTACACATCCTATGTTTAAACAAATCATAAAATACCTGAACATCTAGCCATATGACGTTTTCAAATCACCATCAACATCGTGCCAACTATCAATTAAAATGCTCACTTTACTTCTACCTTGTAACGCAATGTAACCCATAAAATCATCAATGTGTTCATATAAGCCTTGTCGATTGTAGCATCAACTATAACTAGGTAGAAAATACCAGTTTCTTGGGCTTTTTTCACCTTGACATACATCATGACACCTCTAGTTTTTCTTATACGGTTTGTATTAACAAATGTTGCAGCAGATGTTGTATGGGAGAGGCTTGTCGAATTGGCCATGACTATCAAGAGAAATGATATAAATCTCAAAATGATCAAGAGAAACTATACGTTTCAATAAAAACAAATGGAAAATCGTAGAAACAAAATGATTAAGAGACAAACTACTGTAAAACCCTAGACAAAATAATCAGTGGAAAACAAAATGATATATAACTCATTTCAGTAAAGAACAAACTTGTTGCGAAATGACTTTTGATATCCATTGGAAGAGTTTTGATGAATATCGCCTAGGGTTTTTGCGAAATGAGAGTGACGAAATGACGTTTGAGCGTTGATAGGTAAATAAAAAGTTAGAAACTAGCTAGATTATAGTCTGAAGTTTCTCGTGCAATAAATGTTTCACGTCGGTTTTTCTATAAAAATCGACGTGTAATTATTCTGAGAATTCAATTGAAAGATATATTTGTGAGGACAAAGCCTCATATACTATACACGTGTGTTTCGATGATGTCAAAACGCAACCACATAGAAGAATCGGTACTTGGCATTATCACCACAAGGCATAAGCATACCTTATCTCTTACGTCTCATTTGCTTGCATGTTGTGTCATCCAATTAGCGTCATTCGAGTCAAACATCATTGGTGGATTATGTGTTGCATCTAGAAGTGTCAAAAACATAAAAATAGGCATTTTTGAAAAATACAAGTCTTTGAATCGACCGCTCATTTTGCTCCGGTCGACTCATAAAAGGTGTCTACAAAGTGTATTTCCCACGGGTTGGCGCACGTCGACCTCCGGTCGACGTATACTGATTGTTATTTGTGTTTGTCTAAAAATACAGACTTTGCGTCTATGCATGGTCCTGTTTTGGTCGACGCATAGCCTGTTACTTTGTATAGTCTGTTCTGTCTAGAGAGTTCCGGTCGACCACTCCTTTTGCATGGTTGACCGTTCGCTACTTTTCTGCATAATTCTGGTCTTTTCACTTATTTCAAAAAATGGTTTTGTCTGTTACTTTTTGGCATACTATAAATAGAAAGTTGCTCATTTTCATCAACAACATTTTTTTGAATCAATTGCAAAACAAGAAAAGTGAAAGAGGTGCCATTAGTTCTCATCATCTTCATCTTCTACATTTCATACCACAAAAATCACACACAATAATCTTTGTTGTGCATTATGGTTTGTTTGAAGTGATAACGTTCGAAGCCGTTGATTGGGAATCCAGTTCGGGTTGAGGTTTTGGCAGGTTTTTCTTGAATAAAACCTTGAGGGTTTTGTCCTCCAAGATTCACTGAATTTGGTACGAATCTTCTGAACATATATTCAATTGAGCGAAGGTGATCGAGGAGCGGTGGGTTCCGTCGATCTAGTAGCGGGAATTGGTGAATTGTGAAGGAGAGGTTCGGGTTCGATTAGCAAGTGTTTGATATCAGTCGGCTGGGGTTTGAAAATGCAAGGTTGTTCAACCAAGGAGCTGTAATCAGAGGTTCATCCACAAGCAATCGGAGGACTTGATTCGACTCGAATCAAGGGACAAGAAGTGAAAGCATATTCAACAACAAGAGAGTTTGTTTGTTCATTTGCTATTTCATTCTTGTAAAAACGATTCAACAACATGTTACAGTTATATTATACAAGCTCAATTCTATTGTTAGAACTGAGGGCAGACGTACCCCGAAGCGAGGACGGCGGGGGAACTGCCTTAACAAATCTTTGTGCCTTTTACTTTCCGCATTTTTATTTTGCTTAATATTTGTGTGAATTTAGTTCAAACAATAATATCGAATTAAGGACTGTTGAGTAAGTGCTGAAGTAATTTTAACTATAGTACAATAGTTTATTTTACAAGGAAACTAATGCTACTTACTCAAGGCCGAAATCACTTGGAGAGCTCCGCTCGCCAAGTGTTTGATAAATTGTTTGAACCAAAATTCTCTTGTGTTGTCCAATTATTTTGTTGGCATATTAAGGCATTGGAACTAGTCATACCAAGTAGTGATATAAATCAATTGATAGTGTGACTAGCTTGGTGATTCTTGTTGCTCATTTCTCATTATCAATTTCCAAAAGGCTAGACGCATATCCGGTCTTCTAGTAACGGTTCGTTATAGACGGTAATTTTTCCATGGCCACTTCCGCAATCTAAATAATTTTTTAAAAACCAATTTTATTGGTAGCGGCGACTGATTTTTAATAAGGGATCTATTCAACCCTCCACTCTTCTAAATCCGTGCCATCGTCTAACAATATAATGCCGATTTTTGTTGTATCACCGAGGGGTTTAAAAATATCAAATAAAAAATTAAAATAAGATTTTGAAAATAATATTTTAAAATTGATTAATACACAATATATTACCTCTCAGTTGAACAATGTCACCGAGTTAAATACTAATAGATAAAAAATACAAATGATACAAAAAGGAATTTGGAAAGGCGCCAAGTGAGAAGCACAAACTAAAAAACAGAAAAAAAAATAAAATAAAAAAAATAAAATAAAATGCAATGACTGAGTGTCAAAACGAGTTCCCTTGTAGTTTGATTCCTTCACTTTTCTAAAAAACTGAAGTAAATGATTACTAATTTCTTTAAAAAAAATAAAAGCTGTCGCTTGCAATACATATTCCCTCATTTTTCTATTATTCAAAGTGTTAACTTCGTCGTAAAAAATGTTTTTTTATTGTAGTGTTTCAATATCTACGAATTATACCTTCAAAAAAGATAAAATTTAGATATATATGATTTTTTTTTTACCATTTTTCAATAATAAATATACTTGTTATATTTTCATAGTAAAAATCATACTTAAAAAATTGTATCTAAATTTGTACGATTCTTCAAAACAAATACCTATAAACTCAAACAATAAAAAAAAATTAAATCCCAACCATTAAGAGCTTAAGATGTTTTCCGAAGTTATCATTACGACACATCATTGCGGCGTTCCTAGTCACTCCACCTCACATTCCTTATCTTCCACCATCAACTTTCCGATGCCACCTTAATTTCCAAACCCTCTCCCAAACCAAAAACATGAACACTTTACTCCATTCTTCAAACCGTTCCCTTTGTACGGTACCTTACCCTTTACTCTCTCCGGTTCCAACCAACAACACCAACCTTCCAAGGTTCATTTCAACCACTAAACGCTCACTTTATCCCATTGCATGTGCCACTTCCAATGAAGAATTTGCAGAAGAGATTAAAGTGGTTGAACCCAACACCAGTGAAGGAACCACTTCATCCACTTTTTCTGTTCCAATTGACAAAGAGCTTAAAAGGGTATGTTTCAAAATCTTTCATTTTTTCTTCTTAATTTTCAATTTAAATCAAATTTTAAGTGTGCCCATTTTTTTAAAATTGTTACTTTACTGAAAATTGACTAGTTTGTTTGAGAAAGGTTTTTGTTGTTGTATGTTGCTTAAGAGTTAAGGAAGGTATTAGAAAGATATAAGAAAAATGTTTTTTTTTTGGTCCGCGCAAAAGCCGACATTGTTAGGTTGAACATCATCACCAAAGTTTGATCACTGGTAGTCGCAGTTGTGTGTGAGTTTTTAGTGGTTATGACCACGTCTACGGACGTAAATGTTTGTTTTTGACCTTGATAGGTTGCTCAGAAGACAGCTGCAACCTTTGCACCAAGGGCTTCCACGGCCTCGAAAAACCCGGCAGTTCCTGGAACTACCTTGTATACTGTTTTTGAGGTTCAAGCTTATGTATCAATGTTGTTGGGTGGAGCTTTGTCTTTTAATCTCATTTTCCCTTCAGACCAACCTGATATTTGGAGGTTGATGGGAATGTGGTCCATTTGGATGTTCAGTAAGTTCATACCTATCAATTTCTATCTTAATTTTGATCGTTGCATGAATGAACAAGTGCTTGCTTGATTGGTCGGTACTTAAATTTCACGTCCATATGAAGATATGATGCATTTATGAGAAATGATGTTAGGTTTTGAGGCATTTGAGTTTAACTTAACCCCGCAAAATTGGTTTGTAAGGGAAGATTAAGATTGCTTAGAATTTATACGTTGTATTAAGACTTGAGTATTTCCCAAGGGCGATCCATTAACGGATCAAGGATAGTCTGTGATATCATTTTAGGTTTGTGTTCTAACTGAGCTCTATTTAGACATTATCTCGTTGAATGAATGGGCGAGACTTCAGATTTTCGATAAATATGCAAGATGTTATATGTGTCTTGATTGCTATGATTCTTTAGTTAGTGTAATAAAATAAGTTATATGATGAATGCTATTAATTTATTTGTTTGTAGCAATTCCTTCGTTACGAGCTCGAGATTGCTCAAAGAATGAGAAAGAAGCTCTCAACTATCTTTTTCTACTAGTCCCATTGCTCAATGTTGGAATCCCATTCTTTTTGAAGTCCTTTCCTGTTGTTTGGTCGGCAGATGTAATAGCTTTCTTTGGAATGTATGCATGGAAGGTACACACGATTTCTAAAAATTTAATTCCTCTAACGAGCAATAAATAAAGTAAAATATTCTCAGTTATCAAGATTTGTCGTTTACTTGTTTCTCTTGCAGCTTGGATGGCTCCAGAAAACGGACTAACTCGGCCCAACTCGATGATACTCTTTTCAAGACTAGTTTGCTCTTGACTTTCTCATGAGTCTCAATTATATCCGACAGAGAAAATGAGATGCGGAATTTCGTCAAGTGTTTGATATATCACAGTCCTCAACACCAAGGATGAAAGAATTCCGCGTGGAAATTCCAGGTTCTTTTGCTTCTACTAGGGGATCTAGATATCATTGTTGCATTTTTTTCTTAATGTCAAACGAAGAAAATGCTTATACGTTCTATATAAGTTTTGCGTTTTATCATGTGTAACCTAGCAGAAATATTGACATTACTGAGTTGTTTTCATGGTTTATAGTGTTAATAAATATTGCATCAATGATAAGAAAGCTATAATTTCAATGACCAAATCGGATATTTAGGCATAGATTTGTTCTCGCATCCAAACCAAGAACAAGCAAAAACAACCTTTTTTGTATCCTAACATTGACAATGCAATTGAACTAAGAACATCTACAAAATCTATCAGGCTGTTTTGACATTATGAGTTATGACGATTGTAGCCATCATTATATCTGAAGAACAGAAGAGTATCTTCCTCTTCCTCCCCCGACAATATCTTCCATCAATCTTGGCTGCATACTTTCAGCGACTGCAAGGCCGTTTGATCTAAGTTCAAACTTTCTGTCTTGGATTCGAATTCAACGGCTCTATAGTTGCTACAGAATGTTCAAAGTTTCTACTATCGTTTTCACCCTTCATAAAAATGTAAGGTTGGTCGATAGAGATCATAAGGTGCCCAAAGATGATCGACGGTACAAGGGTTCTGTGAATCTAGCCTCAACCAAGGTTTACCTTTCCCACTCCAATGAAGTAAACTAACATTTACCTTCAATATTATCCCCTCCTTAACCATGTTGATTCCATCTATGCTCCACGCCTTTTATCTCGCCGGCCAAAACAAGAAGAAAAGGAGGCAACGAACCCAAATGATAAATCCTCTTTTTCTTCTGCACCCGCATCCACTCTTCCACCTTTTGTGTATATCTTCCTTCTCTCCATTTTTCAACATCCACGACCATCACACCCGTGTTGAAATAACAAGGCTTCCGACCGAGAAATGCACGTGGGAGTTCTGGGTCTGCCCAAAACATGTCTGGTGAAATACCTTGTGAAATTTGTGTGACAATACTCAGGTGCAGCCACTACCTTGCCACCCAAGTCACAGGTGCAGCCACTACCTTGCCACCCAAGTCAACTTCCCAAAGTTTCGCAATGTCATCAACAACAACAAGATCAGAGTCAAGGTACAAAATCCGCCTTACACTACCCGGTATAATATCAGAAAGATATATCCTTGCGTAGTTTAGAGGCTGGTCTAACGCCAGACGAATTGATTTTGAGATTTTTCCGCGTACCCTACTCGATTCAAACCGGTAAATCTTGAACTTGAGATAAGGAAACGTGGATTTAATGTTGTAAAAGATTTCAGATTCGAACCTCGCCCAGAGAAAAAGAAACTCGACGTTCTCCGGACGAGTGTTGTAAAATGGATAGAATAGCTCCCATAATGCCTCAGAGATAGTTCGAGTCAAGTGTCATAGCAATGTGGATTCTCTTGCAGTTACACGCGTCACCGTTTCGAAAGGAAGGTGCTTCTTGAAAGGTGACGATTCTAGGATAATAGCGAGGTGGATGTTGGTGACGGCGGTGACATGGAAATGGTTGGAAAGGAGGAGAAAGGGAAGGAGAGATGGGAGTAGGAAGGGGAGTTTGGCATGTTGGTGACATGTTGGGTTCCCAAACCCCATCCTTCCTGTCCCTAATGGTGAAAAAATGAGGGGTGTGATGATAAAGTCAAGGAGGAGGCATTGTTGAATTTTGTGATGCTACATTGAGAATGAAAATTAAAAAATATGGTAGGGAATGGTTGAGGGAAATGGAATAAATTGTAGGGTAGAGAATATTGCTCGGAGAGAATATATATTTTATCTCGATATTCCAATTAAATATTTCTCTTCATGGTTATAATTAAAATCATATAGATATATAACCTTTTTATATATTTATTTACTTAACTTTGATCTTAATCTTAATTTTTTGTTGTAAAAAATATTACTCACTTGTACCCATATTCTTTTTTCTATTATTTTGACATCCTATATATATATATATATATATATATATATATATATATATATATATATATATATATATTCAATTGATCTTAAGACTAAGAATATACTAATACCACACTAGTCATTGATTGTATTTCCTTCCATTTATGTAATCAGTGGAATTCTTGGGCATTCGCGCGGATACTGTTACACGTATTTATTTTAAAAATATAATAAAAATAAAAAATAAAAAGACAAAATTATTTAATTAAAAAAGTTTATTATTTTCAAAAGAAAAATATGCTTTTATTTATATTTGTAGCATAAATATAATTATTTCACATATACAAATATTTGAGTTAATCGTATATTTTTCCATACTTAAAAATTAATTTTGTTTTTTTTATTATTTATAAAAATATTTATACAATCATTTAGTTTTATAAATATCAATTAATATCATAGTATTTGAAAATATTATTTTAATTATATAAATAAATATTAGTAACATAAATTAATATATTTATCCCGTGTTTGTATTCACATTATTTAAGATTTTTTTTTAATTGTATAAAAAATGTAATAACATGTGAGTTAGCACGAATTCTATTTTGAATATCCGTGCGTTCGTAAGGATAATGGTGTGTTACACACATTTATTTTTAAAATATAATAAAAAAAACACAGACAATTACTCAACTAAGAAAGTTTATTATTTAAATTTTTTTTATATTTTTATTTGGAGCATGAATATAATTTTTGCATATATACAAATATTTGGATCAATGGTATATTTTTCTGTATATAAATATTAAATTTGTTTACATATTATTTATAAAAGTATTTATACAATCATTTAGTTTTATAAAATATTATCTATTAACATAGTATTTAAAAATATTATTTTAAGTCTATTAATAAATATTAATAACATAAATAAATATATTTTTCTCATATTTGAATTCATATATTATTTAAAATATATGTTTTATTTTCTTTAATTATTTTCTTTTATTTTCTTTGTCTTGGTGATCATAAAATAATTATGAATTGTTTATATTAACATATAATTTTAATGTCATTTAATTCATACATTACTTGTGTTTTTTTGTTTAATATCATTTTACTCATAAATATTTGTCTCATTTATTTCTTTATTAGTAACATAAATAATTAAAAAATAACACATTTTCTCGTGTTACGTTTAAGTATATTTTTTTTTGTATATTATATAGATAAATATATATTGATCAATGATGAAGCTGATCCGTTAATATTTTATTTTTATTTTTTTATTTATTTTTATCGTTATAAACCTTTCTCCTATAAATGTGAAATATGATATAAAAATAATATTAATTGCAAACATAAAAATAAAATATTAATTACAAACATAAAAAAAGAAAAATTGTAAAAATATGTTATTATATTGATAGAGTTTTTTTATTTATAAGAATAAGATATCATAAATTTGAAATATATATTTCTATAAATCAATATATTTAATTATTATAGTATAAATAATAATTTTTTAATTTGTGAAATAATTTTCTAAAACATATTTATAGAATAGAATATTTGTGAAATAATTTTTTTATAATTTTTTTATTTATTCAAACAAATTATAATGTTATATTATTAAAAATAGGCAATCAAAGAAATTTATAGTACAATTGATTTATTCCGTTTATAAAAAATAGAGTAATATCTTAACATAAATTAAAAATTAAATACAATTGATTTATTCCGTTTATAAAAAAATTTGCATTAACAATATACTTTTTCCAATTTAATTAATTAATTTATTAAAAACCTATAAATAAAATAATACATCATTTTATATTATTATAAATAATATTATAAAAAGAGTTAATTTTTTTTATTTATAATTCCAGCCCACTGTCTGAAGCTTCTTTGACTAAATTCCAATCAAAACCATAAACATAAATTCCAATCAAAACCATATGTAAGGGCAAAATATTGTAAATAGTTTATTGAGTCAAAATCAGTAAGTATACCATGGTTGCTATCATATTCTTACAAATTTACTTTAAAATGTGTAATCCAAAAGTCAAAATCATTAAAAGAATTAAGTTGCTCCAAAAACCTCTTTCATTCGGCCCCAAGATGCAAGTTAATAAATTTACACACGGATAAGAATGATATTTCTCAATCGCAATCACAGAAATAACAATCAAAATCAGTGGTGTCGTCTAATGTATTGAGCTTTTGTAAGACTTTTTCATGGGCCATATGCAAAAATTTCACAAATTCAAGGAAGCTTAATTTTCTATTGGTGTGACGTATCCAATGATAAAGAACAACATGTATCGGGATAGATGGACCAAGTCAGAATTTCTGATTATTTTAGTTAAAACAACTCATGAGAAATGTATATATCATCATTTAAATAATAATAATAATAATAATTAACATAATTTCGACATGTATAACCTATAATCATTGTTTAATCAAGCATACCAAAGCTAATTCGTCAATGACTTTGGTCTTATTTCCATCCTTTTCAAATAAGTTAATTTTCATCCTTTTCAAATAAGTTAATAGCATAACGTGCACGTTTTTTCCGGTGTTCAAGTGCTTCATGTTGATGAACACTAAGTCCAACTACACATAACACATCAAAATCCATTTATTTGTATTGCGATGCATAAATGGAAATGAGAAAGCATACTGCATAAACCAAAATACTGAGTTATTGTTTATACCATATACGATAGAATACTGAGTTATCTAAGGTAATATTGAGTTTTTATTTATATTGTATATACATAGTTTAACATATATCTCAACATGAAACAAGAAAGCACTAAATCAGTCAGATGCTTATCCAAATTTTACCTACATGAAAGCACTAAACCAGCCAGCTGTTTCATCTAATGCTCTTTCAGATGTCTT